ACATTGAGTATGTACAGACGGAGGATTGTTGTAGAGTTCTGTTTCACACTTCAGCACCACGGAGAGCTCCTCACAGACACAGCCTGCACTGCCTAGTGGCCGAGTGATGGAACTGCACCCACTGAAACTAAAGTGAATTAAATCATGAATCAGAGAAAAACTCACTTTACTCCGTGATTTGTTTTCTCTTTGTATAAAATTGTCGTAAATAATTTCCTCTGTCCTCAGAGCCAGAAGCTCGAGATCTTTTATAATTAGGTTATAAAAGGAAACATTTGGTCCATGATGAGTTACACGAGCTGTTGGAGATGAGAAATGTGCAGCTGTGCGGCGACAGATCGAACGCACACTAGGTCGCACACACAACTCTGAACTGAGGACATAAACGACACCTACACAGTGAGACAGGAGAAACCCTTCACCCTCCGTGTGCTCACAAACACTCACACACACGTCTTACTCTGAGGGTTGTAGCGCAGCCGACAGCCGGCGTCAGGACAGAGCATAGTATTAATTCTCATTATTATAATAATGGGCTCTGTCACATCCTGTGTTACACATCTGCAAAATTAAAAAAAAACCCAAAACAAATGAAAACCTTGTTTGTTAAAGAAGGGAGAGTGACGACGCAGTGGTTGAAGGTTATAAAACGTGAAGTGATCTGAGTTGACAGATAAATATAAAATATAAAGAGTTCTGACCTGTGGGATAAACATCCCTCAGCTTCAGTTTCAAGTCTCACGGTGGAACAGGAAGCAGGGACTGGATGTTTGAAGTAGGAATATCACAGTGTGTGTGTGTGTGTGTGTGTGTGCGTGTGTGCGTGTGTGCGTGTGTGCGTGTGTGCGTGTGTGTGCAGGGCTACCCACTAGAGAGGGGGATCAGCATTCGGCTGGCAGACCTTCTCAAGAGATCCAAATCGCAGCAGTTCCACGGCCTGATGGGAAGAAGCTCAGGTAAACAAACAAACACATTTTGTACTTTTATAGTTGATTTATTGTTTGTTTTTTTTCGTGATTTTAATATTTCCTGTTTATCTCCTGTTCTCAACGATGTCTTCCATCTCAGGAACATCTCAACCCGTGAGACTGGGCAGGAAGAGTGAGTGTGATTCCACCAGTAGAACGTCGTCAGTGTCGGTTGCTGTGTTTTAGAATATCTGCTCCATCAGTGTCTGTGTTTGTGTCGGCAGGAAACAAAGGGGAGATGTTCGTTGGACTCATGGGCAGAAGGAGTTTAGGAGCAGAAGGTGATGAATCCTTGAGCGGGATTTGATTTTGATTTGATTGCAATTGTATCTGAAATCAAACCTGCTTTTTACTTTTTAACGAAACTTGTGTTGTATTGAAGTGTTTGCGTCTCTGAATCTACTTTCAAAGCTCGATTTTACTTTAACTATTCATGTCTATTTATGACATATTGTCTTTCAATGTCTCGAAAGCTGTAAAATAAAGTTACCTGTTATTTAAACAATCTCATCGTCTCTCTCTGTTTTCCAGATGTGGAAGATGAGTGGAAATCTGAATCTTATTAAAGATGGAAGAAGAAAAAAAAAATCCCCTGATCCATAATCCCACCTCTGATTCAACTACAACGTCCGATACAGTCGCACGTTGCTGAGCAACAGGACGGACTGTCGAGTATAACCCACTCTGAGCGGGACAGATGTCCTCAACATCTGCTGCAATGGACTCGAAATCGATTAAAAGCTGCTGAAAAACCACGAGGACCATCGCCCATCCATTATAATCAACACCATCACTAATATTTAAAAGTGTGTACGTGTAAGCCTTGTGTCTTCTCAGGGCCTTCGCTTGTTTCATTTCAAACTCATTAAAGCTGAAGACGTGAACTCAGTGTGTCTTTATTCCGCGTGTGTGAATCTCTTCTGCTGCATTTTTGAATTACCGGCAGATCTGAAACCAGTTTTTGAAAAGTACAAAATAAAGCTCACGAAGCTTCAAATCAGTTCGTTCACTTAAATCTGTATTTTCTTGACTTTCAAACTCTTCAGTTTAATTATCATCTTTTTATATTGTACAGAAAATGAACCTCGGCAGCTTCAACACTCTGATGACAGAACATTTATCAAACTGATGCAAAGATGTGAAGTTCGTGGAACTGTAGCTAAGGTGCAGAATAAAAAGAGGATTAGACTTATAATAAATATAACCTCAGCAAAGTTACTTAGTTAGTTAATCACAGAGACGATCCTCTTCACGGTCAGAACACAAACAACACATCGGGCAAAGATCACCATTTGTGTTTATTGAAGAGGAAGTTAACGGGCAGAAGCAAATACAAAAACCACAACTGAGCTACACATCGATGCCGCGCTACTTTAGTGTGTCGCTGCTTTGTGTGCATCATTTAATTAGGTAGCGGTTCTACGACAGCTCGCCGGCCTACGGAAAGTGATGGAGTGACTCCAGCGAGTCACTGAGACTGTTCAGACCGTTAATGATGAGCGACGTGCTCTGAACGTGTCGGTCTATAGCTGCCACTGGCACAGAGGACGACACCGAGGCGACAGGACGAGAAACAGAAACAGACGGGTTTCCTCTGAAGATGACGGAGCTAGAGGCACCGACAGCGAAACACAACGTTAACTCAGCAAAGAAAGAAATTCCCGCAGACACATTTAGAACATTATCATCAGGAGGCTGTGTTTAACAACAGGCTTTTACTTTGAAATCCCTTAAAAAAATGAAGTGCACTTTCCTGTAAACAAACTTTTGCTCAGTGGCACATTTCAGAGGTTTATTGAGAACAGAAAGGATCTGAAACTGTTGAGATTTAGATTGGAAGTCAGTGACTCTTAATCTTCGTGTGAGACCCAAAACTAAAAAAACAGGAACAGGTTCAACAACGAAGAACAAGAAAATAAGACACGGAGAAAAAAAAAATATATATCTGAAGGCAACAGAACAAAAAACAAATCGGTTCGTGACAGAAAAAGATTCGTCCATGTTTGAAATTGTGACACTGAAGATACAGAAGGTGAAAGGCATCACGGGAAAGAAGCTGATTCGATCTGACGTCGTTGGATACACACCTTCAATTTCACAGCCACGTGCTGTCGGAGCTCGCGCGCCTTTAAAGGACCCGTTCTGACACTCTGGGGAAATCCACACGCTCTCACCGAGCCACCGTGCACACGCTCTCACCGAGCCACCGTGCACACGCTCTCACCGAGCCACCGTGCACACGCTCTCACCGAGCCACCGTGCACACGCTTCCACTCTCACAGGGTTCAGGCTCATGAGCTGGAGCCGAACGTAAAGCTTCTCATTTCACTCTGAATGTTTCCCCAGAACGTTCACGAGAACTAGAAGATGAACACGTGGAATTAAAATCCATCACGTGGATAGTTATTAAAATTTAATCAGCAAAACACTTAAAAAAAAAAAACAGACAATAGCACACGAGCTGCAGAGCACGGGTCAAACAGGAAGCTGTGTTTCCTCTTGCAGCAGCGTGCGTGTGTGTATGTGTGTGTGCGTGTGTGTGCGTGGCGTTAACAAATAGTGACAATGTGCAAAAGTTTTGATTCATCACCTCTGATAACAGATTGACGTCTGAAATGAAAATGACTGTGGTCGTATTTTCCTGTAAGTTCTTTAAAACACATTCAAATCTACATAGAAACTTTAAATAAATATTTCTATTCACAAGGAAGCTGCAGAGGTTTCACTCCTCCTCCAGACTTGGTCTGTTACTGTACGTTCTACGCAGTTAATGTCTCGTTTTAAGA